TGCCATTTTAATATTTATCTACATTTCATTTACAAACCGATAGAATTTTTTTTCGTTTTGACTTGATATAAGGTTGACTGATATCAGAGAGATCTCTGAGTGCTTAGATCTGATATGAATCAAGATCTTGGTAGCGTGTGATAAGAAAAATATTAAATAATTATATTTTTGAGTTTATTTATTTACTCTTAGCTAATTGAGAAAAAAAATCTTATTATACGCTTTTAGATGGGTTCGTTGAGTCGTAATATTTAGTCATGTGTTGAAACCGTAGTGGCGACCTCTAACGAGTTTCACATTTGTTTTCAGCGCTCGAGGACGTGCTTACCACCTGTCACGTAGGGACTTTACTTTCTCAGTGTACATCTCCTTTTTATATGCAATAAAAAGTTACAGCTTTCTTGTATCGATGAGGATAAATCTTTAAATTATTACTCAGAACGGCAAGAACGCGTACGGGGGCACATTTATCCGGTTGTCTCTCGCTTCTCAAGCTTACATGGAATTATCGGGATGACTCAAAACCCTTCGCGTTTTGGCTTCCTTATTTGTCGTGCGTCACGAGATGGGACAAAACATACTTTTAAAGTGGTGCCGTACTTGGTTCGAAAGATTTTGTTCTGACTTGCCGTGTCTTACGGATTAAGGTTGTATATGGTATTAACTTCGGTTACTCCTAGAGACTATTTGAGTCTGTATTACAATAGTGTAATTCACCGTTTATAACTTTCTCCATATTACACACATATTGTATGGATTGTTGATTTCTCTAATGCGATTTCAGGTTGCAGATCAGTGTACGTAATTACATTTGACATTTTCCCGTGGCTGTAATATGTGTCGCGTAATACATAAGCGACGCGCTGTAGTACCAGGTTGGCAGAGATCAAAGAGAATCGGCGACAGGAATAACGCCACGTGGGGATTATCGAACTAATAACGCCAGTGTATCCGGGACTTATTCCCGTCTTGTTACAAACCGGCGACCTAATGCCGACCTAAAACAACACACGGAAACTCGCTTACCATCAGCCGTTTGCACGCTTCGTTCTACAATCGAGTTCGAAATTTTTTTTTGTTATCTTCCCGTCTTCAGTGCACGCAAAATTCCTGCAGTCGTTTAAAGACAAAACAGTTCCTCTGTTTGCTCTAGAGGCGCTATTAGAGCGTTTCCGCGATAATTTAGTCGTCATTAACGGGGGACCGGCCGGCCAGCGGCTGGATAGTAGGCGTTGCAAGGTGCGAAGGGGTTCGCGTGTTGAATAATTGACGTCGGCAGCTGCCGCGCTCTGGGGCCCCCCACTGTTGTCGAGAGCGAGAGCTGCGCCGGGCACCAGGTCCCGCGAGCCCTGGCCACGGACAAGGGGGCACGAAACACTGGCACAAAAACTCTTTTCATTTTTCGCGTCCGCGGCGCGCCTCTACCCGGCGCACCAGACCGTGAAAAATCACCGCGAATTATCATGCGGAGCGTTTACGCGCGAGGCCGTTTGAATGCGAATCGCGGTCGTAATAAAGTCGGCTCGTGTCCCTATCCCCGTAAACGGAATGTTTTCTTTTTTTTATTTTGATAGACTATCGCCGACTGCCGCGGCCACGACACCAGTGAAGTTGCAGTTGCGTTGTCACCCCCTAAAGAAGTAGGGTCCGGTAACGATATTTAATCTTTAGACGCGTTATACATATAAAACAGCGTGAACTGTCGTTAATACTATTAACGCATACATACATTAAGGCTAAAAAAGAGATATGTCAATGAAACCTCCAAAGCTATTTCTGTTAATAGAAAGAGATTAATAAAACTTATGTCTTACTTTCGTATCGCCAAAATAGAATGTGAAAAACGCGTTGAGGCTCTGGTTACTTAATTCACCAAACGAAATACAAAAGCATAAATCGTTGCAATCTACGCCGGTGTTATCCAACTCTGCAATACTTGCCCGTACGGCACATTCATGCCACAGCATAGGCTTCGACGGCGTTGTGACTCTGTCGCATTAAAAGGTTTACGAATTATTCTATAATAGTCCGTCAGGGCGCGATGCGACGATCTTGTCCAGCTTCAGAATGACACGGACCGCAGTGGAATTGCGAAGTAACTTGCGCAGCGTGCTTCATTCGCTATTCATATATGCGTGTCGCGTAACAAGTCGAGTATGTTGGAAGCTATTAGGTTTAGCAGGTTTTTCTAACGAATCGTAACATAAATAAAATTTGTTTTTCATTCAATAACAAACTTATTAATATCGATGTTGTTACTTTTTATATTCAATTTGACAGTTTTGTTTTTAGGAAAGCTATAAATTTTTTTATAGTTTATTGTTTTTATTTGTTATAACAATCATAAGAACTTTGTTTTTCCATTCAAAATGAATGTTCTGCTTCGATGTTGTTCTTGTTTTTATTTAATTCAACTACTCACATTTATTTGCGACTACCTGCCAAGAATTATTTCGTTAGGAGCAGGTTCATGATTATGACTAGGTATGTAAAGTAAATGTGGTAAAGCGCGGGTGATTTTAAGATTTTGTGCACGTAGTAACAATTAGCTATCTGCTCGTCGTTGTTCTGAAACAACTTTATAAATATACTTTTCATTTATATAATAATAATAAAGTTTATTAAAGTCCAAACTAACAATATAAGTTTGAATATAATAATTTATAATAATTATATAGAATAAATATAAGAATATCGTTATCTTTATTTTGTATTCGCATAATATTCTCCCCGTATGTGAACACATAATCAAAAACAGACAAAGTACGTTTATAGCAAGTACAAAAAGAACGGTTGAATACATATTGTACCCCATTTACTGTCGGTAATCCACACGGACCCCAATAAGGTTGCGCGCTAAAAAGCGAGCAAAAGCAATTTCGGCCAGAGTCAACAAAGGCGTGTACGTATTAAATATTGATTGACCCGCAGCCGATCGGTCGTGACTCCGGGTCGGGTGAGACAGAGGCTGCACGGTTGACTGCGGGCTCGCCGCTGGCTTAGCATAATCGGCAACGTTCCCACGAATCAGTGCACAACTCACCGTGTCAGCGCACATCGCTCAATGGGCACCAGCACGGCCGGTCATCGCTTCCGAAGTGTGCCTGTCGCATTAGTCCGTTACCGTTCGCTCGGCAAGCGTGAATTAGTTGGTGCCTGACTGCTGCGTAGTATGAACTTCTTTTGTCGACCTCGATAACTGGTGATTTACGCGGAGTGATGCTGCAGCGGCCGGCTGAGGTCCATTGTTTATATTGTAGTACGGATATGTTTGACGATATGTTGCGAACATTCGAGGGGTGATGCGGTTACGTCATTCAATGAACGATACCAAAGCAGTAAATGATTATCTTTTAGGCGGACCTCTGTGAGATACTTTTGCGTACGAGCCGTAATGTTTATGCAGCAGATGATGAATTTATAATAGATTAAAATAAATAAGAAAAACGAATCTTATAAATTGTCATGATGTGTCAAATTATTTGATAGCCTGCTATCATCTAACACGAGAATTTTAGCCAATTACATTTGTATTAAAAATAAAACTTTTTTGGTTTAGGAATACAGTATTTTGTATCAAAACATATTAAATTTATCATTATTACTTTTTGTTGAACAGTTTTAACTTAGTTCGTTAGACAGGAATCATTAGTAGTTGTATGTATACATATACCTAAGGCGTTGTTTGCTACAGATCCATTCGTGGTGACTTTAAAAGTCAAAGAACAAATTTATCATAGAGCTCTTTTTGAATCCCTGATTTCCATATCAAATAATCAACATAAATTTCTACTAACATATTATATCGGTGATGATAATGATGAATTGAATACATTTTGGGAATACACGAGTAAAATACAAATATGAATATGGACTTCACAGCAGAAATCTCTAATGACGCGTTGTTAAAAATTGAAGAAGTGTGCTTGGAAATCGCGAATAAACTTTTCAGTCAATTGGAAATGCCATCACCAAATCGACCTGATACTTCGCAGCATTTGTTTCAGAATCACGCCGTGAACAATATTATAATACGATTTCTGCATCTGCACCAAGGATATTACAACTAAAACAAAATATAAAAATAAATGTCATATTAAACGTGTTAGGAAATGTTTTTTCGTCCTCTTTGTTCAATTTAGCGACAACAACGCGTTGCAGGGAAATGCTAGTTCATAAAAAAAAATTTTCTACCAAAAACCTCATATTCTAATTTCAATGTCTATATGTCAATATCCGTCAAACATTTTTATTGGCATAAAAAATAGGCGTGTACTTATCATGTGATCACACGATGAAAATGAACATTTCTAATTTACTATTTTTCCAATCATAGTACTTGGCAGCGAAAATTGGAAACATTACATTGTCCCATCAATGACGAATCTCTACCTTAAATACGTCTATGTTTCTACTATGTTTTTTCGGGGTTCGAATCCCGCAGCGGCGAAATACTTTTCTCTCATCTCAGTGGTAGGGCCACGCAGCAGCCTCGGTTGTTGCACGAATGGGCTGGCCCGCCCGGGTAAGTACCGCGGCTTCACAGAAGACCGGCGTAAAGTGGAAGTATGAAAAATACTTTTGCGTTTCGTCTGGTGAGTGAGGTAGCCGGAGCCCAATTTTCAAAATGTTTGCAACGCATCTGTAACCCACGGGTGTAGCAGATGTCCATGGGCGGCGGTTTTCACTTAACATCAGGTGAACCGTCTGCTCGTTTGGAAACTTTTAACATAAAAAGTGCCGAGATTAGCGATATAAAAACTCTACATATTTTTTTTTCATTTCAATAGCACAGGCGATATCGTTCAATAGTTATTCGAAATTGTTTATGTACTGTAAAGGACATAACAATAGATGGCGCCAAGCATTGCTTAAAATGCGAAAAAAATATAATGTAGTTCAAGTAATAATGTATTGACTGTTCAATATCCGTCAAAAGACTCCTCTCGAAATTGCTAAGGACCGGTGAATTTCTATTTTAACGCTACATATTGTTCCAGCCCCAGCGGCACCGCGCTGAGTACCCTACCTCAACTGCGGGAGTACTTGCAGACGACTGGGACGTGCAAGTGCGGTCTTCCTTGCCCCCTGAGACCGGAGACCGCGTTCAGTTTTGATCCCAAGGTGAGACATTCTTACAATCTATGGACATTTTCTAGCTCACTACTTTTTCTTTTTGCTTACAGTATAAATTTAGGTACTCGGCTTGCTGTTTTTCTATACCTGTTTTAGTCAATTTATTGTTTATATATAGTATGTTGTTTATAACAGATGCTCGAAGCAAATTCAAGACTCAGATACACGCGCAATCTTTCACCGAATATAATTTCTTACCATGTTATTGTAATGATTGCTTTCGATGACTCCGTGGCGCAGTGGCCAAGGTATCGGCTTTGGCGTTGAGGGGTCGTGGGTTCGATTCCCACACGGGACAACTATTTGTTTGACCCACAGATAGTTGTTTCGCATCTGGGTGTTTGTCTGTGTGAAATTTATGTTTGTAAAACGTCCTCACGACACAGGATAATGTTATCCTAAAGTAAGGGTGTTTTCCCAATATTTTTAATAAAAAAAAAACTACTTTATTGCTAGTGGGACTTGTTATCTTTAGTTTTTTCATACTTATATCCAAATATTATTATTCGCTCATTAACAGGTTTGGCTCCATTAAAATCGAAGTCGTTTCCACTGTTCAAGTTCGACTTTGAGCTATATTATTTGGATAATTTAGTGCTATTTTGAACAGATTGAAATCATCGTTATCTTGTAACTAATCATCTGGACGTCGGAGTAAGCACAGTGGAGTGTGCTTCACAGGAAAGTGGTGTAAAGTAAAATTATTTATACTTTCGCGTCTGAACAGTGAGGTAACTCACTTTGATACCACGCTTGCAAAATATCGAGAGGTGTATTGTTCAAGAGGTAATTAGTACGCTGTTGCCATCTCTTTGAAAATATGTAAAAAATCGGTTCAGTTAGCTATTTATACCTATGTATAAATTCACCTATTTCAAATTGATGCAGAAATTGTTAAGGTTTACAGTTACCTGCATTAGATTTAGACGCCACTTTCTTTCGTAAGTTATGGGAAGGTATACTTTTTGTACGCGTTGCGTCGCTATTTCTGATTCGATATTTCTTTGTCGTTTCGTCTTTAACTCGCGTATTGTTATTTTGATTATGTGAACGTTCTTTTAAGATGTCCAATAGTAAAAGTTGAATGCTGACGGAGCGCTCGTGTTTTTTCAGCTTTCACAGTATTGAGATTTCGTCGTCGAGCACATTAAGTGTTTTTATAACGTCCAGACTTCGAATGCTTTATGGTCAATCCATCAATACACGTTCGTAAACGTCGGCCGCTCAACAATAAAAAGGGACATCATTAATAAGATAAAATCGCTTTGCTAAAATTTATCTCACCGGTCATTTTCGATAAATATTACGACGCTAATGCATATTTATGAATCTATGTGTCCAGAGAGCCTGTTACACAGGTTCTGCATAATAAACATCAGATAAGTCGTGGGAGCAAAAACTTTAGCACCGCATTTACTAAGCGTATGTTTTGATCTACGAAGCTGTAATTATCTTTAGAAAGACATTTTTAATGTATTTTATTTACTTTTTTATTTCATTAACTGTATACAACGTCTTTGTTTGATGTTGTAGACATGTTTATTTTGTTTCGGGTTTTTTCTCGGCGATATTGAAGGTTTGATAAAGCCAAAGATGCAATTCCTATTTGCATTACTTGAATCGGTAGTTAGTTTAGTATTAGTTTACATTGAACATTGTTTTGTAACAAGATTGTGATTTATAGTAGTACAGAAGTAAAATAATAACGTAGTGAAATCAAAGTTGGGTCTTGAAAGAAAACATTGAATTTTATTGGGAAGAGTTCCTCCAAAGTCATCTAATCCCAGCGGGATAGACAGATATAGCTAATAAATTAATATTAGCAAATATTATATAACACTAGCTATTCGCCCGAGACTTTGCTTGCCCTTAAACAAATACCTTTTTTTATTTTTTTAAAGAAAAAGAATCCTATGTTCTTTTTAATATCTCTAAGAATATGTGTACAATGTTTTATGATAATCGGTTGAGTAGTTTTGGCGTAAAGGCGTAACAACAAACTTACATTCACATTTATATATAATATTATAAAATAATTATTTTCTATTTACTATAGTAGTAGGGATATATTTTATTAGTCTAATCTTAAAATAATAATTTTCAAAAAGTAAAGTAATAGCTGATATTTACGTTCCGCTGCTGGACAAAGGTCTCCTCTGTTTAGATAGAGTGTTAGGGCATAGTCCACGCGACTCCATTGCGGATTGATAGACTTCACTTTTCGATTTTTTTTTGTCATAATTTCGAAAATATACAGATTTCTTAACGATGTTTTCCTTCACCGCTGTGCATGCGCTAAGTCAGCGCTGAAAATTAACAATTTCACTGGTGCCTACTCCAGGATTTGAATTCAGGCTGCTCGAGCATATTGAATTAAAAACGAGCGTACATAGAGCTGTCACGGCTCAAACTGTTTAGTTATTTTTTGTTGTTAGTGTCAAAAGTAAATTAAGGTTCCAATTATTACTTTGATAAAGTGTTTAATGAAAGAATCCCGCGACAAAAATGCGAAAACATTTATTATATTGTGTTACTTCATCCATAAAATTTACACTTGTAGAATAATGTTTAAAGATAATATTTACTTCGTGAAAGTTACTTTATAGCGTTTACTTTTTGCCTCCCGTCTGCAATGTGTTCTAAGGTCAATGCCGCACAAATTGACCGGGGTGCAGTTTTTAGCCATTAAATGGATAACCAAACCCCGAGACGGTATACAGTCTCTTTGTTTATAAAAAGGTCGACAAATTACAGTTCAAAACTCTCGTCTGCAGTAGCTGTTAAAACCACTTCAGATAATGTCCTGTGTGTCTTGTGAGGACTCAAGTGCAAGTACCTCGTTATATTTTTGAATTTGTACAATCTCAAATAAAGTGAAGGATTCTGTAAAGAAAATACTTTTATTTCAGTCATGTCTTCGTGCAAAAGTTTGTGTTTCGTATAAAACGCGAAAAGGAACACATTTTTCTTACTTAATTTCCTTTTCAAATCGATTGGTCGTCTCGCTTTAAACAAATGTTAGAACTTTGTTTGTTATTTATATTATAATTTCTAAAATGTTAGCGTCATAGGAAACTGTTCCCACGCAAGAGGCCATTACTTGCCGGCGATCCATTTACGAAGTGACGCATTGAAGAAAAAAAAGAGACCACTTTTGTTAGCGTTGTTTGGTGATGATATCAAATTAGCATGTTCCAGATGCGATAGCGTATTAACATGTTTCTTTTGCGATTCAAAATTGCTGTTTATCGGATTCGTTGCATAGATAATACATTCTGTAGAGGAGTGTCAGTATTTTTTTTCCGGCGAATAGCTCGGTGGCCATAAAACTATGTTAAAGTTATAACAACTATCTGCTCACTGCAGAGCAAAGGTTCAGTCACTTTGTGATTCAATTATCCCTAACAAGTCGCGTTTGTGTAATGCCCATTTAAGGCGCGCTATGAGACTCGTATAGAAGATAGTGACGTGCAACCCCTTTACGATTGCGCGTTAAAGTTAAGTGCTTTATGTATCTCTATCGCTTCTCAATCCATAATTGATAGTCAGAAATGGCGTCTGTTATTGCGTAACGTCCAATAATTCCAAAATGAGGCAGTTGGTGTTGAGATTTTGCATGTATGTAATAGGAAATTTGAGTTTTATTCGATGCACGGCAGTGCCTTTCGAATCCGCGATCTTCATCACCAACTCCGATTACACCCGACTGAGCCATCATCGCATTTATTACAACATTGTGTTAATATTGTATTGTAGCCAATATATAGGTATATAGGTAAACCTGTATGTCCGGTATGTCCAACTGTTGTGCGAGGGTCTTCCGTACAGACAGCATAGGGCATAGCTCACATACTTTTGAAATATATTTGTATTATGTTAATCTTTGTGCATGATAGATACGGAAACGCTTATAATTTCATATTATTTAAATGGCCTCAACCCAAACTCAGTCATCGGTTACGCGGTTCTGTCCGCAAAGACGAATATTTTAGCTGAAAACTCGTCGATATGTCTGAGTGCGATCAACACACTCACTATAAATGTAATTTTATGTAACATAGTTAGTGTTAACGTTAAAAATTCGCAATAGACTTCATGGGCTTTCGCGATAAAGTTTTATTTTTTAAAGTTCTCCCCTTATCTGTAAGTTAGCCGTAGGTACTGAGGGTCCCACGTGTCGTCGATAACAAGAGGAGCATTGTACTGGCTCTGTGTCAGAGCACGCTTCATCCATTGTGGCCAAGTGCTAATTAAATTTGGACAGTCCTTACAGTCGAATGAGATCTTTTAGCAGCGTTTGTTTTCAATTGATCGGCAAATAATTTTGTAATATAAGAAATTTTATGTATCCTTACATAACGCACACGCTGCAATTGTAATGTTTAATTTAGGAGTTAGTCATACTCTTATGGAAACTAATTTTATTTTTTATTTTCTGGTTTAACATGATTTTCCAATATATTCTTACCTATTGATTAAAGAAAATATACCCCTGTTGATATCCCAAATTGATTATTGAAATGGGTAATATTATAAAACTGTTGGATTCAGTTGGCAAAGTAAAAATTTATATTTAGAAGATGAAGTGCAGAAATTCAAAACATAAATTATTTACCGCATACTGTCTAAGTGAAACGCGTAAATAATCTGTTGTCGAACAGTTGCATAGAGAGTAAACATTGTCGGTAAATAATTTTAAACTATCAAATAACCGAATGAGTGAAAAAATAATAATCTACTAAATTTAAATTAATCGGCACCATCTGCAGTGGTCACAAAATGCTCTTCGAAAAATGCTGTCCCACGTTTTCCTATAGCATTGTGCCACCAACGTTACATAGTTATTCGGCACATACAAGCGTTGCCTAACAAGTAAATCGTTATAGTGTGGCCCACTTTACTTTAGCCCATGTTTACAGTGATCTCACTGTGCAACCCGTCGGTTGGCGCGCTTATTTACACGCCTAAGCTTCACTAATCATATCTCA